GTGATTTCCCGGACCACTATCGAAGTAAACAGTTAAATTGGAAAAAGTGACATTATATGTCGTCAGATATGTGTGAAAGACTTCTAATTAATATTCAACTACGGTCAAAGACAACTCAGTAATCGTACTAATCACAAGAGAACAAATCAAAGTAAACTACTGCACTTTCTGTCAACGAAGCAATAATAGTCTATGAATACGGTAAATAATCTCACTTCAATTTTTACTTTCTTGAATTATACCAGTTTTGAATATAATCAGTTTTATTTTAGTTGAACAGTTCTGTGTCACTTTCAACAACATCATTTGTAGTAAGGTCAGAATTTGAAAGCTGGATTAAACTTGAATCGTGATGTTCTTTTTCTGTTTTAGATATAGTCATTCAGTCAATTCTAACTATGATACAATGCCAGATATCCATGTAGCTGTTAGTAAAATTCTTCCAGCAACTGAAATTGAGAACTGTGAATTAATTGTGAGTGAGCAAATCCTAGAAAATGAAGGTTTTAACACACACAATAAGACTTTCTTCTCATTTTCACTTTATTGGCGTAAAACTGCGCAAATATTCGAATATGCCAGGATTTCTACCACAAATAGAATCTCGAAACAGAAAAGCCATGGTTTTTGTCTAGAAGTCCGTGGCGTGTCCTTTTATAGAGAAGTTATTCATTTATTCTGTAACTCTGAGAAGAACCAGTTTCTGTCAAAATTTGAGCGCACAAACAAAAGAAAAAATCGATAAGCTAGCTCAAGCTTGGTAAAGCGGTACATTCAGCTAGCTCAACCTAGATAAAGCGGCACATTTAGCGGCACATTTTAGTTTATCTCTACTAATTTAATACTAATTTATTTTTTACGAATCTATTTCTGTTCTATTGATATCCATAAACCGAAGTATTCTAGATTACACAGTACACAAAAATCGAACAAATTCAATTACGACTAGAATATTGCTTTCACAATCAAATGTACAGTCATCCGTACACTTTCTCAGTGCTTACAAATGGACAAGAATATTTCACGGATACCACGGGCTGGGTTAATTTACCTACTGAGGAATCAACTTTTGGAACTGAAAGGTAAAAGGATCTTAAGTGTAGTTATTCAGCCTAGATTTATAACGGACTCTGTGCATCTCTTTACAGATATAAGATAGACATGTATTTAGCAGTAATACCCTACACTAACCTAGATTATGACACTTCACTGCGGATTCATGCAATGATTAATGAAAACGTTAATGAAAGTTCTCTGGGTAAAATAATATTTTTGCTCTTGTTCACAAGATTGGCTCACACAATCACCGTATCCGTCTTAATGTTTAGCCTTATATGAGCCGCGTCTATGCGTAAGATGGAAAGTAAATGAATGGAAACAAACGTATTCAAATCCAATTGTTGCAAGTCATTAACTCGGATTGTTATTCATGTAATCTAAAATAGCAGCTTTTTTAGGGTCTTACACATATTCCATTATCAAAATCTTCTGTATTAAGAATGAGGTAATTATCATTCTCTCTATATTTGATATATACTTTGAATTTTCCATTCACTATAACATCCACATTCAGATATTCCAGTGAAAATCGAAAACCATCGCTACCATTAAACCTTAATGTAAGTGTAACTCCGAATAAGGTGATACTCTGCAATATTCTTCCTTTTGCGTTCGTTTTAAGTGTTACTTTAATCATCCGGATGTAATGCAAATAACTGCTGATATTTTCTTGATATGTAACACAATTCCATTTAAAGAATCGAGTAAAGTGTTTCTAGAGGAAAATCACAATGTAAGCAGAATTGTTCGTCAGTTACAAAGGCAACAAAATAGTAATTTATTCGTGTAAGTGACCATAGTGTTTATATTGACAGAAGAAATTGTTTAAAAATAGTTATTTACTTTAGCAATATTGGAAATATAACTATCATAAAAGTACCAGGATCCACGCCCACAGAAGAAACTTTGCCATCTGTTCGCTCAAACTTACCAGAAACAAGTATTTCATTAAAGCATTACTAGCTTTAATACATGATAATTTCCATTCTAGCGGATAAAGAATATGTGCAACGCATGTTAAATATTACCAGTCGTCATTATTCTCCTCATCACTGCCGTTTATACGTTCGTCTAACTATCGATATTAATGGACAAATAGTTTTAATTGGAGATTCTCTCTCAGGAGCAATAAAAGATAGAAGTATCTGAGGACATACATCACATTTACCATTGTACTAAACCTTTACTTTGTTCAGAAAGGTTTCCACCGTTAACTTTGGGAAGCAATTTACCGAAAGAAGAAGTTGACATTATTCGTGCAGGAAAACGGATATTTTTGAGTACTGGTGAACAACAAAATGCAACACAGTAAAGAAATATGTGCGATTTACGAAAAAAAATTGCAAAACGGTCAATTATGATTTAAGGTTTTGAATAAATTTCTTTGTTCGATTTTAGTTCCGGATGCCCAACTGCTCAATTGAAGGTAGAGTTTTCTTTAGTATCGCCTCCTAACGGCCATATAATTGGGAATACCGAACAATCAACATTATCGGAAATCGACGCCATAGCCGAAAGGATTCACGTCGATGCCACATTAGAAGATAATAAGGTAAATTCAATGTGCAAGTGTCGAATTTTGTTCTAACTATGCCTGCTATATTCGTTTTAGCGTTTTATTTCGTGTATTGTACCAACGTTGCCACAATATCACAACTATTTAGTCGCTATAAAACAATTCATTGATGGAACGGGCGATTACTCCCCGTCACAGTATCTATATGTGGAAAACAAAGATCAAGAAAGAATCCGCCAGAAAAAACGGGAAAAGCGAACATTAGATGCCGAGCCAAAATTAAGATATGATAGTAAGGATGAGCCAGTCACTCTGTTTGATTATCAATGCCCGCCATTAAACGGTGAGTGCTATATAGCATGAACTATTTATTTTTTTCCTTTATTTATATCATCATCCAAGAATATGAATGTTCAATTCTTAGATACCACGTATACGTATATAAAACATTCAAACATTCTGTTTCATTAGATCCATTTAACTATGATAAAATCATAAACACTACCGACCCACAATTATTATAGAGTTCCTCTTTTTTTGAAACGATCCGCTCTACTATCAAAGTTGCACAGGTTTACTATCATAGATTTTAAAACGGTTTGAACACGTGTTGAACTTAAACGTAATAGTCATTAATTTCTCGTTACTTGAAAGATGGAGAGGTTGTAACAGATCTAGCAAAACGAGAATGCATAAACTGCCTATTTATTAAGCAGTGAATATCTTTAGTCCATCATATGACAGACTTTAATAACTCTCATATTCTATTTCAGTATCGTCCGAAATGACAACCACTACTGAAGACACGATTAGTATGGATCAGTCTAGTGCAAGTACTTACAGTTTCATATCAGGTGATGTCGTCTCAAATACATTCATTTTACTATCTGCTTTGAGAAGTAGGGCCTGATTTTACGATTTTTGGAAAAAACTGATGATTTTTTTGGGAAAGATGTTAGATATTCAGACTGGTCTCCAAAACTAAAGAAAACAAATCGACATACAATCATGGCGAAAGAAAAGCAGAAGTGCTTGCTTTTCTAGCATATATTCAAGATAAGAGTGGGCCCCTCCTTGACATTCGTCGCTGTGAAAGAAGATTGGAAGATACCTAAAGATCTAAACATCTATGTATCTGAATTAGGTAATTGTCGAGCGTTCGGTACCAACCATTAGAACCGCACCGAAAATACCGAAGTTTTTTTCATTATCTAAATCTACTTTTGAACTCAAAAGAAGCTTTTTCCTCCTTAAATTGCGAAGACCCTCGTCCCTTCATATTTTTGGTAGGTATCGAACTTTTCAGTACCTTCGCTGGTACCGAACGATTCGATACCGAAATTTTCGGTACTACGCGAAAACAGTACCATTACCAAAGTACCGACAATTACCTAATCTGGACTACAAGGCAGACAAATTTTTGATGTTAAGTGAGAGCATTCTCACAGTATATACAGTCGACGTCAAAAGTATTTCGCCACTTTTTTGTTTTGAGTCGTGGATTAAAACTACACAACATTAATTTCATTGCATTATATACCTGTGTAGTTGAGGTCAAGTACTATATATATACACACGTTTGGTATGAAAAACCCTTGAATATAAAATACAATAAAAAAATAAAACTTCAGTGCTGAGACAAAAATGACATAAATAACCGCAAAATGATATATTTGTTAACGGACACTTTCATGGGCAGTCAAGCACAAAAACGCAAAATGTTCAAAAACTTTTTATTCTATCAGACTTGGTAGCGCTTTTTTCGCTGATCATTTTGGTTAAAAAAATTTAGGGTTTCATTGAGAACTGACGATGTTATAGTCAAAATACATATTAAACATTCTAAAATCCCGAGTGCTCCAAAATGTTCACAACATAGTTTGTTTTGCGAATATATCCCCACAGACAAATGATAAATTCTTTCAAATGAAAAAGACATACATGATAGTGCTACTTTCCACCGTATTTAACGTAATAAAAATGTTCGGAAGACTTTTATATTTTGTATGTATCTCGACTAAAGGAAATGATAGAACTTTGATTTTTTTTC